TATATATATATATAGATATATATATAACATTTCTTTATTACATTATTATTTTTTTGTTGTTTTTTTAATATGCTCACCTGCAGTTATTTTTCTCGTACCCCATTTTCTGAATATTCCTGTAAATGTGTACACTGCCAATTTACAGGCCCTAGTGTTAGCAGTAATTAAATATCTCTATCTACATTATTTATCCAATGTGTATTGTTATGTCAGTGCCACAGACAGACATATTGGGGGGCAAATAAATGAGCGAGACAGAAAGTTCAGTTTGAAATGAAGGCAAACAAGGCTAAAGGTGAACTAATTGGTCCTTATGACAGACCTTGACTCTATTAGGGCACTTTCAAGTAAACCTTTAGAAGCTTCAGTACACAAGGGTACATAGGTTACTATAAGATAATATAAATCAAATCCCCCTACGGTGTTATTTTATCAAAGGCTAATTGGATTCAAGCAAGCCTCAAGAAACACTTAAAGATGACAAAGCTTTCAATATTCTTGTGGCAGAAAACAAATTTATATCTCCATACCAAATGGAACCAAGAACACCTAAGGCCAAAATAGATGCTGCTCTATAGGATTTTCACTTATGTGACCGGCTTGTGCTAAAGCATTGTCAGCTAGAGTAAATCTATAAGAGAATCCGGCTGACGTCTACCAGTGAGTTAAGAAAGAGACTTATGACAGTTTGAATCATGTATTAACAAGTACCAAAATAGTAACAGAAATTACAGTATATAGTTTAAAGTACACAGCACTTTAAAATATTGTCCAGTGGCCTAGCAACAGGAAAAACAAAGGTAGCAATTGTTTTTTGTCCCAATATGTTTAACTCTAAGCCTAAATGAAAAAACATTTCTTCCCACTCTGAGAATTGAAGCAATGGAAATATTACCATGATGTACCTGATCACTTTAATGGGCTTTCACATTAACACTTTGTTATATTGTGTGTTTCATGGCTATTACTAAAAAATCAGTCCATCCAAAATTGGACAGCCAGAACACAAGATTTGCCTAAAGAAGCCTTCCCATTTGAATATCAGATTTTTTTTCATTTTATAGTGAATATGAAAAAAGGTGCTCTAACTTTGATTCCACAGATTGAAGGCATTCTGTGGAAAGGGTAGTCAGGACTATAGACTCTAGGATAAAATATTGCCACCTGAGTCCCCAATGGATTTAATGCAACATATTTTGCCCACCCATAACTTTAATGTCATATTTGGGGAAGGTTACCCTTTATTTTTTTTCAGCTGCTGTCTTGTTTAACATTTTATATTATATTCCACACTTTGCAAAAATACCATTATATGGTAGGTAGGTATTCATTGCCTAATTGCTATCACTTCCTTGTACAAGATCCTTGTCTGGAAACTTAGCAGAGGTACAGCTGCAAAATATGATGCATCACCATCTGCAATTTTGGTTGAACAGCGCAGTAACTAAATGAACATCTCACTTTAGATGTATTATGGATGTATTTGTTATTATAATAATATATTATGTTATAATAATATTCCTAAAAGGTTATCTTCACAAAATAGACTGTAAGTTAAAAGTATGGCCTGATAAAACTATTTGAGGGTGGGGTGGAGAAGAGTTCTCCTCAATGGAGTCTCAGAGAGTAGAGAACTCCAGATGGGGCTATTAGCCCTGCTCAGATCCATGCACAATACAGAGAATTATTTTGATTCTGTTTAAACTAAAGTTATATTTGTATGTGACAGTATAACTATATGCAGCTGATTTCCTGTTCATCATTCCTATAGCAGGACACAATAATCAGCTACCGCATCCTCTATTTAACCTTAGATACCTTTCAGTAAGCAATATTGTACTAGAGTTGTTTATACCCATCTACGCAACAAATGTTAAAGTTGGATTAAGCTCTGCTTTTAGCGTCCTTGGTGTTTGCCATAACGTGCAAATATACACAGTACAGTGGTAGCTCGGTTCACAAATTCTTCTGTTTGCGAACAATTTGGTTCGCGAACAGGAAGTTCGGCAACATTTTGCTTCCGTTCACTATCTCTGCATCGGGTGACGAATGCAACCACAGCCATCTTCCCCGCTCTGACACATGGTCGTGGATTTCTCTAGTTAACATCGCGGTCTGATCACAGTTTGATTCGGTTTCTCGACCAATTCGGTCCGTGACCAGAATCATGGAGCAAATTAAGTTCGTGAACCGAGGTGCCACTGTATTTTTTTCACATAATGGCAGACGTACCTGCCAAAACACCCA